AGATCCATGAAACACATGTGCCTGTTCACTGGTCCCTGAGCCCTAGAGGCCACATGTCATCCAAGCACGTCCCACAGCTGTTGAATGGATTTCAATCTGGTGAACAGGGTTCTCACAGCATGATTGTCATGTTCTGATTTTGCAAGAAAGCCCCTCTCACATGAATAGCATGAAGACAGACTGTATGTCGCCTTGTAGGAAGGGCAGTGGGATGTGATCATTGTGGAGATGCATAGTCAAGGTGCCCTTAATCACTACCAATGATGCTCTTTAACAACTAGACAACCCTCCCCAGATCATCACACTTGGGCAGGGTCACTCTCCCCATTGTTTGGTCTGCTGCACAAAACAGTGTATCATTCTCCACCTGTACCGCTGTCATCCATCAGAGTGCTCTACACAAAACCTTGATTCATCATGAAAGAGGGCTCCTCCAGAACACTAATGCACAAAGGCATTGTTGTCTTGATAAGAAGGGTGAATTGGTTCCTTTCTTTGTGCCCAATTAAGTCTCTCACAACTGAGGTGATTTAGTGCTTATGCACAAAATGACTCGAGCGTATAGCTATCAATAAAGAATGATCAATGTATCAAAATGATGCCAAAAACTTTAATCAATGTCCAAGATCTATGCACTAATTCTAAAAGCGTACATGCATAAATAACATGAAAAGTTTCTTTTGATGCTCAGTATTTGCGCAATTAGTTTACAAAACATGTTCTTAGAATAAGGAGATGAGACTTTTCAAAGAAAAGGTATGAAAATTGTGCTCGGTTACCCAACTAATCATTGCAACCAACTGCAATCCTTCCAATCAAAAGAATTTTGCAAAGTATAATTACATTCCAGGCAACTAGAGAAATCTACTCAGATGTAGAATTTTATTTTTTTTATAGAATGCAGAAGAAGAAATAAACTTGTTCCTAGTGCTTCAGCATTTTCTGATTGTTGATAGGTGAGGCTTAAAATATGTATTTAAAAAATGTAAATGTGACATTGTGATGGTAACAGGCCTTGACCTGAGGTTTTATGCAGCTGTCAGCGAGGAAGGGAAAGGAAATGACTAAATGAGATTCGTCTTCCCATTCTCCAAGGATAAAGAAACCTATTGAAAGAAAGTTTAAAGAGGACGGCATTGATTTTTTAACCCGGCCATCAGCTCTTGGGCATTCAACACAATGAATCTTCTCCCAAAATGAAGCTGTGAAGCTGTGTTGATTGTTCCTCAGGGAAGTACAGGGGACAATCTCTTGACACTGGTTTTCTAAGGTTACCAACATACACATCGTGCAATTTGGGCTGCACAGTTTTTCTTTATTTGTGTGCTTAACTGTGTCTGTCTGTGTGTCTATACACTTTCCCTTATGTGCAGCAGGTGTTGATTTAACAACATATCTTTTTTGCTGCTTGCCTAGGCAGACTATACTTTCATAGCACTCTTTGTGACTTTTGTATTCTCTGTGGTTTAAATTATATAAATAAAGGAAGTGATTGAGATAGTGAAGACAAATGGATCTGCTTTGGTTATGTGGGTAATCTGTGAATACAAGGAAAAACATGGATGCTCTTTCCTTGATCAGTCATCACTGATTGACCGGCTGATTTGTTTATTGATTTACTGATTAAATATGCCTGGATCTTTATTTTAAGATCTTCAAATCTCTCAATGCGTTGGAGTTTAATATCACATTCCTATCCGTGAAATTCTTAACGTGACTGTCCTGATCCATTCCGGGCTCTGATTTACTTAGAGTCCTCAAACATATAATACAGTGAAAGTCACACAGAAGTATTCAGCTAAGTCTGACTAAAATTCCAAAAGAAGCTCTGATAGGAGAATTTAACTGATTTACATTTGAGCAATCAAATTTATCAATGTAAAAGCACAAGGATCTACAAAAAACTATATATACCACAATCTTGCAATTCAAGAGAAGAGAAACACCCGCCTGAATCATAATTGAATCCTTTTATTTTTTTACTCCTTTAGGAAAAAAACAAATGTAATATTGAAAAAATAATGTTCGTACCACACGTACCTAACTCCTAATGCTTTCAATAAAAATGTTTACCGAAATGTAGCACTCACAGATTAACAGTAACTAATATTTCTTTGTGGAGAGAGGGCTTGAGCAATCAGCAATGAGACAATTCATCAGTTCTCTCATGTTTTATACATTCTCAAGGACTCAGCATGTTTTTTTCTGTTTCACCAGAAATTAAAAGCTTAAATCAGATTTGAATGAATTCATATTTCTGTCTGGAAGACCCTTTACCAGGTTTCATGAGCACCAGATACAATAATGCTCCCAGATTTTTGGACCTGTCACTGTTTTCAGTTGCTCAGTCGATACCGAGATTGCATTTAGCTTGCAGTGAAAAATCTGAGCATATTGTATCTAAGGATAAAGCTGCAGCATGTGGTGGCAAGAGGGACTCATCACAGTATAGCCAGACAGTTCCTAAGTATAGAACTGCTGTAATGTGCTTGTGAATAAAAAATGCACAGTAGCAGTTTATATTCAGGTGGTGCTTTTAAATGTGTTATACATATTTAATAGACAGATGATAAATTAAAACATTAAGTTGAAAAGTATACTTAATACAGGGCATTAAATATACTTAACAATATTTTCTTAATGACTTAAGCACTACAAAGTACAAAATCTTCTTACTGCAACATTTTAGTCTAACGTTTTATCACTTCTTCCTTTATAATTTATTAACTATATATGAAAGATTAACAAGCGTCACTCTGATATAAAGTATTAACAGGCACATGAATGCAGATATATTACAAGGAAGGTAAATTTTTCTCTGCTTTCTCTACTTTATTATTTTAGGAACTAAATTAATGTCAGAAAATTGTAAACGTAATATAATTTTAAAAATGCATTACATAGAAGATGGGATGTATATTTGTCTGGGTGTAAAATCCTTCAGTAATACTTCAGTACAGCAATTACTTTGCATTTCCCGCATTACTGCAATGGAGAAAATCAACTTAGTGATTGTGTCACTGGTCGAACACTTAGAACACTTAAACCCTTGAGCTGAGTTACTCTTGCTGACATGACGTCACAGTAAACAGCTTTAATAATATTAAATAACATTATAACATATGGGCATGTTATGGAATTCTCTTCAGGCTTGTGCCTCAATAATAAAAATGAATGTGTTTCATTGCCAGAAGTTTTTTAGTTTTCTGATCCCTCTCCTTGGGGATAGACTGCACACCAGAATCTCTTCCTTGTTAGGTGCTTTGAGCCTTGTGCATTTAAAGCACTCCATAAAAAATGAAAGTATGTTCTCTGTGTAATCCAGTATGTTGGATTCTTCATGCTGCAGCATGAATGTTCCACAGCAATGGCCTAGATGTCAAATATTTCTGCTCCTTTGTGTTGTGATCGCTATCTGTTTTAATGTGGTCACTCCTGGGTTTGGATTTCTCTTGAACCTAGCGTCACAAAATAGACGTCTGTGTTTAAAATAATATTGCTGTTTCCTTTCAACAGAATGCATTTTGTGTGCATGATTACGCACTTAATTACAAACTGGTGTCTTGTCCTTGAAAACTTGACTTTCCCACACTCCTGTGTTAAAGAAGCATAAACTCATTCGTATAAAAAATATCCTCTCTCCTCTCCATTTTGGGGAAATAGAGTGATTGACATTGTTAGAGATTTTTTTAATGAGGATGGCTTTTGGTTATTTCAGGACTTGTAATGTCTTTCTTTTTTTACCTCTCCTTTCTTCAATGTATTCCTGTAGCGATCATACAACTCCTGTGCTCATTCCCTTTTCATCCCTAGTGGGCTTTACATCTATGGTGCACTATAGGAATCTTTTGAACTTTTCTCTTCTGCTGTGGGAGGATCCTAATGTGAGCAGTGAGATGTTTTTTTCTCCGCTTTTCCTGCATGATTTCAGAAGTCAGCCTTGTCCCTTTTCAGCTGTTCCCTGCAAAATCACAACTTGGAGCTGAAGACCGAATCTCTGACTTCTTAAATCAGCATCAGAGATGCCTTCTCTTGTCTTCTCAAGTGCTGGCACTGTAGACGCGGTCAGGGCTTAGCACATTCAGGCTGCATTATACTCATTCAGCAGGGAATGCTGCATGTGAGTTAGCTCAAGTACAGGGGCTTTCCTGAGGGGGAACAGGATACAGTATGTGTAGCCTCAAAAGTAGGGATATAGGAAAAGACTGATAGTGTTTAATGCCAGTGTTAAATGTTTAATTTCCAGTCTTGCTAGCAGCTAAAACCTCTCATTCTGAATCCTGGTTTAGCACTGCCATTCACTCTCCTGCTGAGGCTGTGCTCTTCTCCTGCATCTTCACAACCTTAGAGGATGTGAAAATAAATGATAATTTTCCTTTAATTGCCATTGGTGTCATTCTGGGACTTTTTCATTGATGCTGAAAGGGAACTAATGATGAATTGCTTGTGTGAGAGACCCAGAGCTGTTTAACTGAGAGTCAGAAGTGCTATAAGGTATTTACCCAATATGTCTTACATTGCAGATATACTAAAAAAGAAGATATGAATTTAAAATAACTTTATTATAATCCTCACAGCTGTATAACACTCATACTGGATATTCATCAAGAAGCGATTGGAAATCCTGCAGATGTGAGTTAACAGTCTGACAAGCTTATTAATGATTGGATTATACCTTGCATTCACTTAGAGCATTGCAACAAGAGTGTTTCTTGGTGTCAGCAAGAAACTGGAGTAATTGTGTTTTTCTTCTGTTGCCTACAGACATCTGAAGAGATTAATCAGATTGCTGTAGAGGAACCTAAAGACATAACCAGGGTTGAACTGTAAAGTGGTATCTTGTGATCTTGGACTTCCCAGTGTAATAACTCTTCAATTAAAGAAAAAATAATTTAACTTAATATAAATAAAACTAAAAACATTAATATAATTTTCCATTTCTGGGACACACCCATAAAGCACAGTTCTAGTTTCATTAGTTATAAAAATGAATTAGTCGTGCACAAAATTAGCCCACTCTTAGCAATGCATGCAATGTAAAATTAGTCATGAGTCAATTACAGAACATTAAATTAACCAGCAACATGCATGTAGATGTTTTACAAAAGCAAACAGCATGAGATCGCTCATAATGGACTGGCCACGTGTGCTTTTGAAGATGCTTTTACAGAGGTTGTCTCCTTTTAGGGAAAGAATGCAATCTTCCCTTATTGTTCTTGTTGATGAAAAATGCTTGGAATTCTGTCCTTGTTTTCGTTGTTTTGCTTGTTACTGGGTGGGAATTTTATGCTCTGACTCCAAAAAACCCAACTGCACATGTCAGACAGACACATGCGCTGCTGTCTGCTGTGCGCTAACAGATTGCAGAGCTTGGGTTTCAGATCCCATGTGTGTATCGGATCATCTTTGAAGGGAAACAAGTCAAATCAACAAATTAAACTTCCAGCAACAACACAGGAATCAAGGAGGAGAAGAGAGCACATACTAAATCCTGGCAGAATATTCCATTTATTCAAATTAGACAAAAAACATTTGTGCTGTCACCAATTCCCAGACAGCTCTGTATATATACAGTATTTACAGTATATATAATATCTATCTTATTGTGTTTCACATTTTAAAAAAGTCATCATATCAACAACCTGTGAATATTCAGGAACACTATACATTTCCCCCAAGGAATTCCAAATAAGCCCCCCTTTAATTGTAACACCCCCCAAATACGCATTTCAAATATCATGTAAAAAATATTTTCTTTTTTTCTCTTTTTTAAAAACATTCATTTCTGAGATGCAGCATATGGTAGAGGAGTTCGTTCCGAGTCAGCGCAGACACTTGCCCGCTGGGGCCTGTTTTACCTGTCGGGCCTGTCTGCTCTGTTCTCGCGCTCTCAGAGTGCAGGGCTTGGCTCTGAATGGCATGTTTTAAAATCCCGAACAAGAAAAGAAAAGGCATTACATTTCAGAAAAATAAAAACACTGGCAAACCGCCGTTTGCCCTCAAAATAGGCATTCATATTTATAATAGGTGACATTTGTTTTGGAGAGAGTGTTTGTCTCTTGAGAAGCGTAGTTGCACCTGAACTCTTGGTTCTATCATATTCAGCACCTGTTTAATGTCTGGTAGAAGTAAATACTTTTTAAAATATCTTTATCTTTACACATTTTTTTTTCTTTCTGGGTTGTAAATCGTACAGGCAGTTTTGGTTTGGAGAAAGAGGAAATGTGGTTCTGATGAGCGTGCCTACAAGGCCTGGTGGATGTCTTCATGGCGCAACACTTTGTAGGTGATCCAGTAGAAGATGTTGAAAATGAGGAAAGACAGGGGGAAGGCGGCCCTGGAAACGGTGTCGATCCGCTTGGCCCGGTCCACGAACCTCTTGCGGATAGACTCGGCGTCCTGCAGCGGTGCCGGGGGCGGCGGGGGGGTGAAGACTGTGGCCCCCTCCACCGCGGCCGTGTCCTTCATCTGCAGGCAGTGTCCCAGTCCGTACCCACGAAAATAAAACCCCCTGCTTTCACGGACCAGCTCCTCCTCCTGCAAGAGACAGGGACAAACATGCAGCGAAGGAACGAGGGGACGGCTTCCCAGTGAGGTGCCTGACTTCCCAGGTCCCCCCCCCCCCACACACATTCCTGCTCAGTTTTGTTTTTCCTGCCTGTGAATCCAGGTTTATCCACCTTCCTGTATTCAGTTCAGTAGTAATTCAGAAAACTCCTCAACGAGGGAGGTGTAAAAGATGGTGGTGGGAGGGGAACGAGAGCTGAGTCTGCTCCAAAATACCAGCACTCTCCCATTTTCTGTTTCTATATTTGATCATAATTTCTATTTATTCTCTGTATAAATAGATGGGCTGTATGGTTTGTCCCTGAGCATCGATTGAAACCATTCTTGACATATCGCCTGATCTGTTACAAACTACCTTTGCTGCCTAAAAGCAGAAATAGGTTAGCATGTGACACGAGCAAAACACATACTGAATGATGGCAGACAGACAATAGAGGTGAAAAAAGTGGTGCAAAGCAAGAACAACACCTAAATAGTGAATATAGCCTGAAAGATGTGTGATCAATTAAGCTTTCCTTCTCAGTGACAGCCCGAGGACTTGGGAACTGTGCACATCTCATCTGAGTATTAATATGCATTGCTTCATACGGAGGGCTTTGTGATTGGCCTTTGAATAAAAGCGCTCATTTGGATTCTGCCCAGAATTTTAAAACTTGTACGGCTCGGATTTGACATTCTCTCGACACCTGGAGAGAGGCGGTCAGCAGTGAGACGTTTTTAAACTGGATAATTAGCCATCTCTGACAACGTGACACCCCCCCAACTCCAGCACACATACTGGGCAACCCTGGCAGCTCCCTCAATACCCGGGGTGCCCATTAACTTCTCTGTGACATGGGCAGGGCTGGCCCTGAGTGTCCAATCTACCTTCCACCTCGGCGCCACTTAACAAGCACGCTTCTTTCACAAAGCAAGGCTTGCTGTTGAGCTGACAGCGTGTGTCTGCGGAGTGCTCCGGCTCCCCCGCCCAGCTGTGTGAGTGAAACACTGGTCACATTGAAATACTGCTGCATTTAGGCCACCTTGCTGCTCGTGTGTCTTCCTAGCACTTCAAGGGGATAGAGCCATTATCTCAGCTGCATGTCCACAGTCAAGCTCCACAAAGACGATAGTGGACCTTGTGCACTTTACAGCTTATCACAGTGCCTGGCTCACACCTTGCAGGTGAGGGGGAATCTGTTAGTCTTGACCTCACAGCCAGAGCTGCTGTTTCCTCTGCCAGGTAAGTTAATGCCGAGTATTAAAATATTAAGGACATCACCCATAAATATACATTATCACAACCCTTCTAATGAGAGTCTGAATTCACTTCTTTAAATATTACTTTCAAGTGCATTTCAAGGTCCAGATACACAGACACAGAAGACCTTATTACACAAGATCTGCCTGGACAAAAGGAGAGACAAGCATTTCAAAGTTTTACATGGAATACATGGGGGCCATTGTTTCTTAATTCTTTTATGGGCTCACCTGGATGTGCAGAGGCTCAAGAACAAGATTAATACTCACATCAGCATGTTCAGTAATTGCCTTGGAGGTTCTAGAAAGTATTTTTACACGATTTTTCACCTTTAGATGTATGACAAAAACATCAGCCTGAACCCAAAGTAAACATACTGTAAAAAAGATTCCTGACAGATGACTGCGGCCTCAAATTACAGAAGCCTTCAAAGCACACAGGGAGCTTTTTATGTTTTGACATGCCAGGCAATACAAAAAGTATCTGTCCAGACTTCTCACATTTAAATTTTCATAGGAAAATTTAAGAGAATTATTCAAATCAAACAATTTTGCTTTCATCTGGACCAAAAAAATATTTCTTAGCTTTCAGACTAGTATTTGAAGTGAGTTATCTAAATACAAGATGTGTTAATGATTGGAGCCTGAATTATTCACAATACAAAGAAATGACGCTATAAGTTTCTACAGGGTGCTAGGTGTCTTCATTTATATTCCATTTTCGTGATAGAATCTAGAAGATATTTTTTAAATTGGCATTTTCCTGGTTGGCGGTGGGGTAAAGGTTACAGAAAAAATATTTAATTCTTATAGTTGTGGATAATAAAGTGAGATAACGAAAACGACCTATCTGATTTTGTAGATGTCAAAACAGGAAGCTAAAAGACACACAAGTGGATGAAGCCTGGTGGATATATTACATATATTTTTAAAATAAAAGTATTACTTAAATGCATACAGTATATTTTCATAGCACTTTGTCCACTTAGCTGCTAAAATAGTTATATAAATCTCATATGGCTCTGGATTTATAATTGCAAGGTTGCAGGTTCAAATCCTGGTGGGGTACTGCTGTTGTACCCTTGAAAAAACAGTAAAGTACAAATCAAAGGAAAGATTTACAATTTTATGCCAAAAGTGTAGTTCGCATTTAGGAATTGTATGACCTCTTCTCATTTGTACAGTAACTCTTTTTATGTTCTTAAATCAAACAAAATCCAAAAAATCCCATCTTTCTTTGTGCCTTTGTCTATGATATGGTGAAAAAAAAGTTATATTATCTTACTTGAGTCAGAGTAAATATTCTTCTGAACGGGACTGGGACATTGTCGTGTTCACATGCAGGAAGGTGTTTCTGATACAGAGACACAGAACCATGTGAAAAACAAATTTGTTGTTTTAAAATTAATTCCTGTAATTACCATTGATGGATGAGCAAGTTTCAGAACAGGTTCTTAAAGAGATGAATTTGATGGAAGTAAGTCACTGTTTTAGATTTCATTTCAATGTTCAACCAATTTGATTTTAAGTGCAAATCGAAAGGTAAATGCTGATTTTATTACAGAAAAAATATTTTCAAACTATAATCAATGTATGTGTGTGAGTATATGAGGAACCATGTCCACTGTCACATCATCTCTTTTTCCTTTTCTGCTCTCCGTCAGTGTGAACTTATAGAATTCTGTACAATGTGGAATATTATTTAAATTCTTTCCTACCAAATGGAGGATTGAATTCAGATAGCTGATGTCATAACACTTATCTAATCTGTAATAGGAGAGCAGAGTCCATGCCGAGGGGGAATTGCAGAAAGTGAGAGCATACTGTTCCGGATCCTGATAAAACCCTCACCGCCAGATCAAAGCCTTGGGAACAGACTTTAAAGAAGATGCATCTGTCAGTGATTGCATAGGCTTGTCACATAAGGACTGACGATGCAAACGGGAGGAGGTTGAGGGTCTGAAATGACAACGGAGTTTTTGGCACTAAACATCCCAATTAATCAGCTCTTAAAAAAGCCAATTAATATCCAGAATGAGACACCGAATGCTCCATTGAGAAGTCTCCTGAGAGTGACTGCAATAGACATTTTGTGGTCTTACAGCCGTGGGGTAGGAATCACCCCGACACTGTGAAGAGGAATGCCCACAACGTCCAGGTTGTACCTGTAACCAAGGAGATGGCCAGCTGGTCGGGTCTGGACTGCTCTTGCCATTTCACTACTCCTTGTTTACATTGTACCTCAGCCGTGATGAATTCAACAAAAACCTTCATCTGTCTCTTCCGAGCGGAGCAGAGGAAGGAGATCCCATTGAGAGCTTCCCGTACTTCCCAGGACTCCCGGAGTAAGAAAAACCGACGCTCACAGAAAAGATCTTGTGTGAATGCATTTAGGATCAAGGGTTTGTTCCAAGATTTTTTCTTTCGGAGGCTGCATTCAAGGCCGATGACAGGTCAGAGGCGAAGAGAGGAGGACCGGAGACATGGTGCAGCAGGGGACAGGGAGTGAGCCGCGAGGAGAGTGCACGTGGAGTGGCGGGGGGGACTCGGGAGGGAGGGTGGGTGTGGAGGAGCTCTCCGGGACAAAGACTCACGCGTGCCGGACACCTTGCCCTTTGGGACAGAGGTCAGTTTACCCTGGAGCCGGTGCTGCAGTGCTGGGATATCGTCCCATACGTGGGCTCACCGCCAGGCAGGTCACACGCCTTCCGCAGTGACTCTGTGCTTCCTGTTTGGCTAACCAGACCCTTTGTGCAGAGACGTAAATAGAGAAATTACAATAATGCGATTAAACAAGTTAGCAGCACTTGAGGTCAAGTGCCTCTCCGTACTCCAGCTCAAGATCACGATTAGAGTTTCATTTTAAGTGTGGCTTCTTTATGTTATTCTGTACTCATAAAATGCCCTTAATGGGAAGCTCTGCTTGTATAATGGGCATAGCTAAACAAGTTTAACCTTGAGATTACTGAATCTGCAGTTTTAGAGTACAGAAATCATCTAGAGGGTAGCACATTATTTCCAGAGCATTTCATGTCATAACTAATCACACATGCAAGAACTGGACAGTCTTTTTAGGACTGATATAAGATGGGACAGTTAAAGGCATAATTAAAATGAATGTTATTGATGTTATGATGAATCACTGGTATTTGGTATCAAAAGCCTTTTATACTTCACAGGGTTTCATGACCTTGATAGTCTAATAAGACACTGTATTGTAATGTGTAGCGTGGCTTATTTTTCAGATTAGTATATACAGTATAGAATATGTTTATTTTAGTATAAATGTCTTTAAAATAGTATTGCCAGCATTATTACATAAATTTGTATTCATCTGTTATTTCATTCTATAATCATTGACACTTTTATCCAGAGCAACTTATATTTGTATTCTTTTACTATACACACTGTAGCTGCCCATTCAAGTGAAGCCAACTGACTAAAGTACCTTGCTCAAGAGTACACTGGCAGTACATAGATCAGATAAGATCACTTTGTCAGTTATATACAATTTCTTGCATTAGGAATTCGTCTTTTCACATACCCCAGCTTGCTCTCCATGAGACACACAGACAGGGAGAGAAGCTGGGGGTCAGAGTGCAGGGTCAGCCATTGTACAGCACCCCTGGAGCAGCTGGGGTTCAGGGCCTTGCTCAGGGGCCCAACGGAGTAGGATTCCTCTGTCGACCGCAGAAATGGAACGCGGCAACCTTCCAGTCACAGGCGCAGATCCTGAGCCACTAAACATCTTGAGATTTGAACCTACAGCCTTCCAGTTACAAGTCTACAACCCTTCACAATCCTCCATTCAGACTAAATTATGAATTGCTTATGTCCATGGAACAGAGAACTAAAGAGCCACGCAGGAGCTTAGTGTGCGATGGGATCTCCTGTGTGCTCCTAGGCTGCCTATCTACTACATAGATGAGGGTTGTCAGTTTCATTAATAATTAATAACTGTGGTTTGACTGAAATGGTGAAGGCAGACATTAGAGGTACTTTGTTTTTAAAAATAAGGCAGGTTATACTGCATGTGTGTAAAATGTATTCAAAGTGACAAACATTTTGATAAATGAAATTGGTCAATCTTTAGAATCTTTAGAACACACACATACATCCACATCTGTAAGTGTGTCTCTTTCCCTATGCTGATGGAAAGAAAGTGGAATGATCCGGGGCAGGAGAGGCAGCTCTGCTGACACACAGCTTTATTGCAGGGAAAATTATCTTTGGAGCAATTTTATTGCGGGGAAAATCAGGACAGTTTCCTAGAAATGGAGGAATTGGGACTGAAAGCAGAGAGTGGCTTTTGATAATCTGTTGAGACCTATTGATTGACATAGCTGCTGTTATGTTTTTAAATCAGAATTGTTGTCCATCACTTGGACCTGCTGGGTCTGACGACTAGCTGGATGTTGATTCTGTTGAGTTACGGGATTCATAGAGCTATTCTGGAAGTTTGTGCTGTGAAGTTTGGGCTGGCACTTTTAGGTGACTTATTATACTGCTGTACAGACACTGCTATCTGCACCAAAGAAACAGACTAACAGACTTTTGCGTTTACACAATCTTAGGATTGCCATCAAAGTTGTGTTTTCATCTAGTTTAAGGAGTATGCTGCAAAAGGACAAAGGCTCTTGGCTTTCGTTTTTAAGTTCAGGGGACAAAGTCTATTACATAAGACTGAGATGGAACTTGGATCATCCCTGCTCCTGCCCTCAAGCTAAGAAAAAATATTTTGGTCAGAGATTCACCAACAATTTGTAATCACCAATGCTGGGGAGTAATACTACGTTTCAGTTCAGAACTAAAATCAGGGTGTGATAGCTTTCTGGTACTCTAAAACACATTGTCCAAGTAAAAGAGGGAAATATTGATTAATCCTTGTCAATACACAATGGTGTACATGAGGTCAAGCATCAATATATGTTATTGATAATCTTGGACTCCCTTTGTCAGTGGGAGAACAAAATCAATACTGATCTCAGACAGACATACATTATCTACTACATTACATTATATTCCAAAAGCAACTAACAACAAAGAAGAGGATTTCTAAAGTTAATTCAAACATTTCACACAGGGTTGGATCAATGATCCAGGCTTGGTAAAGTGGACAAGCCTACTTTGCGACAACTCGGCGCTCTATTTCAACAAAAAAAAAAATCATATTCAGAAGCTATTTAAAAAATGAAGCGTTATGTTTTAGGAACTCCACATTTAGTTCCTATGCATATTTTGGGATTATATTTATTGGAAATTGCTTCACACCCCATGATTAAAAAAATTGGCATCCCTGAAATCAAACCCAAGCTTTCTACCAAACCCTAATAAAATCCACAACTTATTAATTCAGCGGTATTTGTTGTTGATACCATCGAGTGAGGTGATGTTTTGACGTTAAATGTGATTGAAGGTTGACAGAGAAGTACTTCAGATCTGCACGGAGTGGAAGGTACCTAAGTGTACAGGCCAGCAGGCTTTCTGTGAGACTGGGCCGAGGTGGAGACTGGCTGTGTTTGAGACTCCTAGTCCCTGAATACCGGCCATGCACAGAGAGAGGAATCAAACTCACTATCCTCTGTCGGCGCTGCCTCTTTCTCAGCCTGATGAACTCTTTGTGCTGCCGTGACACAAAGTTGACCGCTGCATACTCCAGGAGAGCCGCAAACACGAAGAGCAGGCATACGGCCATCCAGATATCGATGGCCTTCACGTACGACACCTGGAACACAAGCCAGAGCAGTTTGAGCAGATGTCCTTCAGCAGCGCACTTGGGCTCTCGTGCTAAAAGACGTTCATTATGTTCGGCAATCCGGTGGCCCTACAGCAGCTCCTGGTTAAAGAGGGCATGTGTGGAGCTTGTGCTGTTTTCAGTGCAGTGTACATCACAGCTTTTATTTCCTGCTGTGTCAGTGGTTTCCTGAATAAGGACAGCTTCAAAATGCTGCAGGTTCGTGCAGAAAGAAAATGCTGAAATGGACAGGCTAGCAATTCAGCTGACCAATTGAATGCTCTTCAGATCCGGGCTCACTGTGATGTGAATCCCCTACAAATGACAACTTGTTTGGAGAGCAGCTGAATTTGTGATTCATAAACCTTGGAGGGGAATGGAACTGACATGCCAGATGTACACTGCTTCTCACCCGATCTACAGTATTTGTCACACACTTGTAACTTTACTAGAGGGGGAGAAAACCCTCAGTCTGCCCTGGAGGGGACGTGATGCGAACAACATCCGATGTAACTTCAGTTTTTCGTGCATGTGAATGATTCCAGGGGCATCAGCAGGAGAAGGACCTTCGTCACCAGGCTTACCTTGGGCAGGGAAGCCCGAGATCCTGAGCTCTGGGTGGTCATAGTGAGCACAGTGGTGATGCCCAGGCCAACCCTGGCTGGAGCTGCGTCCATGTTGATCCAGAAGGAGACCCAGGACAGGATGACAATCAGCAGGCTGGGGATGTACATCTGGATCAGGTAGTAACCCATCTGCCGCTCCAGGTGGAACTTCACCTCAATGCAGGTGAACTTCCCTTCAGCCACAGAGAACCAGGGAGAGTGAACACAGGTGAGATGGACAAGTGTCCCTGTGCCTCCTAACAAGGCCAGTTCTCATGGAAATGAACACTTGCCACGTTGCAGATTTAAACTGATTATTCTATTCTATTGGAGTGGGCTGCAGGTACAATATGTACTTACATCCAACTGTCTACCGTGTTCAGACAAAAGATTTAAGTTTAACTAAGGAATCAATGAAAGCAAGTTATGAACTTAGGAATTTGAAGGGTGGTCTGCCTCTGCACACATATTCAAATATCTTTTAAATCAGCAATTTAAAGAATGAAAACAATAGAGCTACAGCCAAAGTGATCCTACCAGATTCTCCTGATGGTGCCTAAAGGAGGAGATGATGGGAAGCTGACCTGTGTTGTAGTATTTGGTACAGTAGCCCAGGTCCTTCTCGTCTTTCAGCAGAAACTGGGGCAACGTGAGTCCCTCGGCCACCTGCACTGGGCCCTCATCGAGCCACTCAAAAATGAGGTCATTCATGGTGTAGCCAACTGCAGAGGAAGAGGGAGACATCGCTTGCTGGACGTCTGAAATGCTCTGTCCCAGAAAATGAGTACATTGAGCCTGTTACCTGAAGTATAGGGAGTCCACAGACTTCCCTTATTATTTTTAGTTGGGGGGGATTGTGGTAAAAAGATACTTCTTGGCACCTTTTTGCAACATTTGTATGCATGAAAGTATTTTAAGTGTATTTAACAAAAGTACTCTCCTGTAAACTATTTTGGATTATTACAATGTTTTGATCTTGATCACGAGCCACACAATAATACTCATGCAAACCGTAAGCACATTTTAAATGCAAAGGGATGAACTCATTTTCCTGTGTTATTTATGCCTTCTCTTGTCAGTGAAGTAGGAGGCAAGTAAGCAAGAGAGATAGATCTGGACACAGTTCGAATTCACAGTAAGACACACACCCAACACAATCTGTGCAACTAAAGTGAGGGTAGGGGCTTATCTTTCCGTTACCTGTCGATGGCAAAATGGCATAAAGCTGCCTGAACATGTCAAAATCTGGTGACTTGAAAAGCATATGATTTGCAAGCTGGGCCGCCTGCTTGAAATATTTGCGAAGGGTTTGCACACGTTACTTAACAAATGGAGAAGGGAATACAGATTGAATAATACGCCTTGTAAGATAGTTTCTGCAAATATGTCACGATGACCAGGAGGATTTCAGGGCAAACTCTGTAGACAAAAATGCTCCAGGCATAATCATTTAAATAAACATTATAATAATGTTCATCACACTTCCAGTTTCTGTTCTAAAGATGCCCTCTCCTTTGCCCATCTCAACCATAACACCAGTGGCTCTGTGCTGGGTGAGTTTACAGGCTCATTTAAAATGCATGAGGCATGCTGGAATGGTGTGGAATTCTTGACGCGTCTGAATAATGCTGATGTCTATCTCAGCCCCTTGAGGTCTGAGTTACAAAGGCATACATTATTCAAGATGTTATCCCCCGTTCCAACAAGAAGCCAGAACAAGACAAAAAATAAAACAAATTGTTTGTTTGGAGATTTTTCTGTGGCACTCACGGTATACCAGGCTATGGAGCAAACAGAAAACAATGATCAATTATTTATTGAATTGGAACTTTTTCTTTTCCCTTGTTTATTTTTCTTGAGTTATGCATGCGCTTGACAAAACATCCTTAATCCTAAAGTGCATTTTTTAGGTGCCTCTTCCCCTCATGTCCTTTCATATAGGGGAACACATATGTACAAGATGACAAGAGTTTTACTGGTGAGAAAACAGGCCACTGTTGCTCTGTGTTGTGATCCAGTTATGCTTCTAAAGGGCTAACAATAGGGTCAGTGAAAGACAGTTGAGACAGGAGTTGTGCAAGGGAGCAAATTCCCACTGTCTGCTTTTACTCAACTGCTCACTATGATGATGTGCAGGTTTAAATGGGAGGAGGGATACCTTTTGGAAATAATAGATTTTAATAGTTGAGCAATAATATCTTATTTCACATGAAGTACGTAGGAGACAGATAAGAGACAGCTAGGACTCAATTACAGAATGACCAAAGGGCATCAAACTTTGTATGAAAAAAAAAAGTTTTTTTATATATTAACTTTCCAGGATATTTTGGAATGGAAAAGGCATTTCAGGAGATTTCCTTGAATTTGCCTCTTGTAGTGCCCAGGCACTCCAGTAATCCTCTCCATGTCAGAGACCATAACTCACAAGACCCCACTAGAGAAGAAGAAGCTGGTTGCAGGACAGGCGCACAGATAAAGCTGAATCGATTTTAGAAATGAATGTGGTTGCCAGAGCAATCTTGGCACAGTGAAGATTTTCTGAAAATGAATAAGCAAGGTATTCTTCTGTTGGGAGAGTATCTTGTTTATTCTCCTCACTGGATCTGTCTAGGGTTTACCCTTTTACCCAGAAATGCAATTAATGAGCAAGATCAAATCTCTTGACGAAATGAACCTTTATTTTTTTTATTGTAGCCTTGTTTTTTGAAGTTTTAAAAGTGAATAATATAATATGTGGGCAGTGTATATGTTATAATATCAAATGTTGAAATATGCACACATCTGGGATTTGGAACATATAGTTCTAGACTTGCTGTCTTTCTGATGTCCTTGGAAGTGGGGTGATATTACTCCCTGGCCACATTTTAACACTTGCTGTATTCCCACTATCAAAAAAGAACTGTTAAGCTGCAGGAAAGTGCTCTCTTTAATTAGAAATGATTATGCCCCTCTAATCGGCTTTGACCTGTCCATTCTCTTTCATTTGTGAAGGTTTTCAGTAATAGTCTTGGCAAGGAAGCATTTAATTGCAAGCTGCGAGTGACCCAGTAATGCTGAGTTATTTCCTACAGACAGACTGAGCCATTTCAGTTTTTTATTAGTGGTTTTCTTCCCTCAGCCAGCGGCAGTAGTGGGCGAGATTGAAATATGCACACATGCTTCAGGGAACATCCTGTTCATCGAAACATCTGTAGATATTAAAAATACCCGAATCGGTAACCAGTGCACAAAGGCCAGTGGTTTTACAGATTTAGATTTTGCCATAGCTTTAATTCCAGGGCTGGGGGAGGCGATCCATTCCAATGAATAATGTTGCCTCCGCTCCTCATTTGGCTTTTGATAAACAAAGCGGTTCTTTTCTCTCTGTGTGGATAAAAGGTGCTGTGGGCATGCCAGAGGTCTGACACGTAATCTGAGGGACACGCAAGGAAACTTTCATTATTGATATCCTGAAAATGAGTTCTGCAGACGGAGGAGGTTTCACAGCTGGAAGCAGAAGGGGAGAGTGTCAGAGGGTTGGGGATTATTGCTGTTTTTTTCCGTTTTTAATCCTGCTGAATAAAAGAAAACATACGGAAAATAGTGCTTGCTGTTGTGGTGCTTTTGTACAGGGGACAATGGTGTATATTCCTGAGGTAAAAGACGCAAGGGTCTGAGTTCAGGATGCACAGCCGGAAGTTCTTGGCACGTTATGTAGCTTCCTGCCTATCAAAACCATGTTAGCAGGGACGCTATCCTGAGATTCCTGCCACGCACTCTGTGATTTTTTAATCCGTCATACTCCCTAGGTACCTCCTTGGGTGATGGGACTGAGGTGGAGTGTGAAATGAGAAGAAGAAAAAGGAAGGAAATCAACGGACTCACAGCTTTCAAGCTGCATGGTACATGTCTGAATATCCATTGGGAAATTCTTCAAGTCCATAGGGCAGGAAAGGGTCAGAGTCAGCCTGAGATAGAGACAAGACAAGAGACAGAGGAGGAAGCTCAGGAGGCAGGAAAACAGAAAGAGACAGAGGAAGCAATATAACACACATAGCAAAGGAAATAAAGACAAGGAAATAAGGGGTAGCAGATGCAGAGAAGTCAGGAATATTGTAATGTACCATTCTGATTGCAAATTACATAGACGTCTGAGCTGACTCGCCTAGCTTTTACTTGCAATCTAGACGATAATGGCAGAGGTATTTTTGTGGGAAGATGCACTGCAAAAGAAAATTATTTCAGTACCTCTTCTACATCACAGCATTACTGAAACAATATGTTTATTGCAGAGCAGTTCATCTGTTATTTTATTTATTCAGGTTGCCAATGTATAAAGCTTTCAGATTGCTAATGGGAAAAATAAGCGCTGTTGAGGACTTTTGCTGTTAACGATCTGCTGTATAATTATCTGTTGGGCAATGTGTGTTGTGCACTTTTAAGTTCCAAGCATGGTGCACGTGGGGATGCATTCATTTCTGAGATATCTATTATATTTAAAAACAAGTTTTGACTTATTTCTTACAGACCCACTGAGAGACTAACTGTATCCAGTGGAATCTGCAACACGATTCAACAAAATCTGCCTAATCTGAGAGAAAAAGCACTGGAATGATCTCTTTTGTCACTGCATGCTTCTGTGCTGACACATCTTGGCATATCTCATGTTTTCAGTTTAACAGTTGCCTAGTTTGTACTTAATATCTGCCAATTTGATGAGATTTTGAGAACTCTAACAGGGATCCTTGTTTAGTTTTGGGTGAATAAGAGGTGTGACTTGCTATGAAAGAGAAGTTAAAGTAGGTTAGAGAAGAAGAGCTTTTATTTCTTTTCAGAAATTTCCAGGTGGTGCAGTGTAAGCCCGTCTCTCTTTAGAAGGGGTGTGTCGTGCAGCTGTCACTCAGATGGCCCCTCGCACTGTGGCCCTGGTGGCGTACCTGATGCTGTACAGCACGTTGCCGTTCTTAAAGATGCGCAGCAGCTTGTTGTCCGTGGTGACCTCGTGAAAGTTGGCCCCCTTCTCGTTGGCGAAGAACAGGTCGGGCTTCCAGATGGAGTCCAGCATGGAGGGGTCGAGGTCCAGGGAGTCGTCGGGGTACTCACTGTACGCCAGCCGGGGGTCGCTCCACTGCTGCCTCAGGAAAACGTTCAGTCTGTAGTCCTGCGGCGAGGGAGAGAGAGCAGCAGACACCACTCACTTCCAGACGAATCTAAGTTGTATCTGTTCTTTTTTATTCCGAGTTACCCAGCTTTCTCTCCTCATTTGCGTGACGGATTCATTTGGTACCGCTCGGTGAGGACTAATGTGCTCTGTAATAGACTGTAAGCTAACCTTCATTCTTACTTGTGCTGTGTTTGTAAGGTTCGGTGCTCAGCTCAGCTGATTTCGCTTCTCCTTATCGATTTGACTGGTTCGGAACGGGGCTGTGGGACGGCAGCTGTTGGTCAGCTGAGGACCGTGCGTATTCAGGCGAAAGCTGAAGGAGAGTCGCTGACTGCCCTGTGTGTGGACACACTGCTGGAGAGGACATATCCCTTCACCACCGCACCCTACCCCCGTCATGAGTCGGATGAAAACTTTACCGAAAGCAACAGAGGCTCCTTCTTATTTTTTCTCGAAAAATAGATAGCTGAAGAAACATGTAACTAAACAAAGATTTGGGATTCAGGAATCGGAATGTCTCTGAAATAAATTCGTTGAATGCCATTCATCTTGAGAAAAAGTGTCTTATAGAGTACCCACATACAATGAGAGCGGTAAAATAGTTTTAGCTAGCTGAAGAAAGCCTTTTCTCTGGATTCTACTGTAGAAACAGGCATTGCCTCCTACACGTCTTCCGTATTATGGTCTCTAATAAGCCCACAACTCGCAACTGAGAAAGAAATGTAAATTTCTGCTTTTACCACTGACCAGCACAGCCCAACGCTTCCACCCCAATGACAGATGAGGTTCTCCAGGAGAGTTATAGAGCTCAGTGCTGCCTTATTGATCACTCATTGTTTCCCCAACACCAAGGCATTAGTTTTTGTTAAGGTGGTTGGGTGAAAAAAAGAAAAAAAAAGTGTATTCTTAAGTGTGTACATTCTGCAGTTTTAAGGAGAAAAAAAACCATGATGCAGCTCAGCTGAGATTAATGGATCTTCCCTGCATTTTTCAAAATTCTAACTTAAGCCCATCAAAAGCAGCAGAAGAACAAGCAGAGACAATGCATTAATCAAAATAAGTAGAAGACTTTGGAGCACCACGCAGAGAAATTATTGCTGCTTCCTTCTAAAGGGATCTTACCCTGGTGTAAGCCTGCTGTAGTCTTCTGGCAATCTATTACAGTTAATATCTTCAGTTTTGCTCACCAAACCCTTCCCCTTAAGACTTATTAATGTCTTCTATTTTTCATTTCTGAATTTATTTTAATTTTAATTGCAGATAAGGTACTTAATTATAATTGGGTCATTAATTTAAATACAACTACTCTTCTCAGAATTTCTGCAGGTAGCTTTTCCTTTCTGGCTCCTTGTTTTTGTATGCCATGGATGAGCATTTTGCACTTAACAGATCAGATTAAACCCTGAACTCTCACTCTGATGTGCAGAAGATATAAGCAAAGAGGATAAACAGAAGATAAAACACAATAAACAAAGATAAAAACACTTTATGTTTATTCTCTACAATATGCACAGAGATCTGCTGCTTATTTTCTTCTAAATGCTTCCAAATAGAGCTACTTAACTGAATGGTACAAGATGGAGCTGTGTTGTGTTTGTGCTGCTCTGCAGTGAATGCTATGATCTGGAGCTTTGGTGAAGAAAGCAAGGGGAATGTTACTAGGTGGCCTGCTGTCCTGAGCAAGGCATTCAAGCTCCTTGTGCTCTGCTCTTCAGATTAAACAGCTTTCTAGGAGTAATAACCCAGAAGCATACTTCTGAAAAAAATGTGTCGGGACAGGTGTGATTCTAGGAGATTTCAGTTGGAAGCTCTTACCATTGTGGTTTCTGTGACAGACCCGAAGCTGTTGATGAATATGTTGCAGGTGACATTCACAGGTGGACCTGAATTGAGAACACAATGGCATCAGTCCTGCACAATTATGCAATGTTTTTTGTAAGTTCAACATGTTTTCTTTGTTAATATCCTAACAGAGTTTGATGAGAATGTGATGTATGTGTTATGCAGTTGTTGAATATCTCTTTTCACGAAAGTTACATTTAACATGAGCTTTCATTTGAATGTCCTACCAACTTATTAAACATGTAATATAATAAGCATCTGAAAGTGGGTGCTAGTGTTGTTCTCTTGTTATCTTTTATTTTCTTAAGTTAAAAATATATTGGGATTTTCCTTCAGTCATTTTGTGCACTTTATGAAAGTATTCCAGAAATATGGATCAATCTTAAGCCCAAAAGGTTGTAAGATGCAGAACTTGTACATTTTAAAACATCTGCTGACCGGGACCATGGGCTGGATACAGCAAGATCCATACTGGCTATAAACCAATGAGAATATCACACCCTGTATTTTAAACTGCTAGAATAGTATAACTTGACATACCTTACAAACATATAAACTGGACCAAAAGAGGACCACTCAAAAACCAACATTTCCTTTGTAGGAGGAAATATTTGTAGCTCTGCAGGAGCGTCAACAAGGGCAGCATCAGGACTGCGTTTGGGTGGGTTTGGATGGACGGTTGTGACCCTGTGATACAGATGGGAGTGGTGGGGATGTAATGTAAAGCTACAGCCTCACAGTAGTTAAATGCATGTTCTGCTTTCAAGTAGGCATGATAATGTGTCTGTCAATTCTGACATTAACAGTCCTTTGGCAGTCACCATCACCTGTATATACAGTACTCCATAGACGTAGGTGACCAACTCTTGTGGATCCACACACTGCTGGTTTCTGGAGTGTTACTCATGGTAAGGGCCTAGTATTTATTCCATCTCATTCTTCAGAAATGCGCCTTTCAGGCTGCCTCACATGGGTAGTCACTTATGGAAGTACCTTTGAAGTTGGGCCTGATGCGGGCATCGTATCCAGAGGTTCTCCCCATGAGCTTATCCAGAAAGTCAGATGGGGACATGGGCTTGGGGGCTGCCCTGCTGGCTGACTTGATCTCCTCCTTGCAGGATCCAGGCCTGAGTTTTCAGACACACAAGTAATGGACACAGAAAGAGGTTGTGGTGTTAGAATTGTCCAATACAGACCTATTTGCACAGATGTGCAACATCTTTTGACAAACTGAAGAGCTCACAGGACTTGGAAATGGACTACAGTACGCAGGGTGGTGATGTAAAAGTTTTTTGAAATTGGTTTGACAAAGTATTTTTGTGATAGGTTTTCAGTACAGGATCATACACATTGCTTAGAAAAGTAAATAAATATGATGGTGAGAAATTGAAAAAGGAAACCATTAGATTTCGAAACTAAAGCAAACTACTAGTCAATTAGACAGCTCAGTTTCACTAGCAGCAGTTCAGGAGATGCCAGAATAGGGAAGCATTGATTCAGGCTTCAAAAGCGGCAGCCATCTCAGTCTGACAGCTTTGACTGGCTTGAGAAAGAAATTCAAGAGCCATGGGGCCCACCTGGTGCGTAAGTGCCCATGCAATTGGTTGTAATTTTGCCATAGTTTTATATAGTTTTTACTTGAGTCTGTCATAACCTCAGAATGATAAAGGCAAGCCCTCTGAAGCCAGCAATGGAAGGGTGGCTTCAGAAGCTTGCTGCTCTCGAGCTCTGTGCCACGTTGTCTGCCAGGATCTGTTTGTATTCTATAATGGCTTAGAGCATGTCAACAGCATAACTGTGAAGTCTTTTCACATTCTCATTGTTTCTCATTGTTTCTCATTGTTTCTGCTCGTGGCAGTTGTAAAGATGGACACAAACACAGGAGAAGAATTGTTCTCTGGGGTGGAACACAGAGTTCGGTAGAGAGTTTCATCATTTCTGTACGCTGTCCTTTGAAAGAGAACATAGTTTGTAGCGATGGTGGTATGTAGTCACTCCCTCAACCAGAATAATCCTTTCATCAGATTAATAAATGGAAGTTATTAACTGAAGTTCGGGAGGGATAACAACAAGAAGTCAATCCCCTACAGCAACACCTGATCACCATCATTACGAAACAAGTGACATAAACTAAACTCAAAAGCCTCCTTTCGCACTGGTTTCAAGCATCCCTCCTTCGCCTGTCTCCACCTTGCAGGTGCTCCTGGTTCATCCACTCTGGGGTGGGGTTCCTGCCTCCTTGTCCTGTGGCCAGGAGACTACCCATTAACCAGACAGGTGAAGCCAAACGGTTCTCACCCAGTATTGAAAGCATTCACAAAGCATTCAGTTCTTGGTTGCTGTTGTCCCTCTCCAACTTCCAACTTAGTTATAAACAATTACATCACATCCAACACCCTTGCAAGATACATTTCTTATTGCCCAGCCATGTTTATGTACTTGGGGATATTACGCATGTCTGGGTGCTGATTGGTTCAGAGTCCTTCACCTATGCTCTTGCTGCGGTACAGTAGGTACTGTTTTAACAACCCAAGGCACTGTCCTCAACGCACCTGGAGGGGGCAGCTTGCATTGCACTAATGTTGCACTTCATGCATTACAGACCTTGCCACTGCCATTGGATTGACAGACATTTTTAAAGACGAATGAAAGAGAAAGATATGGTCTAACTTGATTCTACCATTCTTTGAGGGTTTACAACACATTCTGGCAGACCAGAAGCTAATGTACTCCACCACCTCTCTCTTCCCTCCAAAGAAAAGACCTACTTTTAAATTTAACAAGCTTCTTTCATCTTTATATTCCCACCTGACTTCATTTTAAATTCTGCTGAATTCATTTTTTTCCTTCAGGTGTGCTTCATGGTATCTACACTTTCTCAAACTGTGTGGCCTTGAAAACCCAATTGTGTTGCTCTGCTGACGATCATATTATGTCATTAACTGTATATGATTGCTTTGCTAGTACGGATAATGTTTTTATCCCTGTGAATACTGATGAAGCACACAGATGCTCTAAACCTTCTCATGGTCTTTTTATAGGTGAACTCAAAAATACAAAATAACCATTACATTCTAAATGAATTACTGTACATAGTAATCATCTTCATTATTTAAACAATTTGCTTTTCTTTGTCCAGAATGAGACTGAATTCATTGAATTCATTTATGATTCAAGACATTAACAAGACTTGATTCTGTGCATGTACAGTGAAAGACAAACATTTAACTGTCTTCTTGGACTTCTTCCCAGTGGAAAACTTGTGATTTCTATTGGCTGCAAAGTTATGACTTTAGTCTTCCTGAAATGTTGACATAGGAAATACAGGATTTATTTCATGTTTGTGTTATTTTATTGATTACATGTTGATAACAGGGATATCTTGCACATTTTGACAGTAATGAAGCTGAGGTTCTGCCGAACAAGATCAACATGACATTCCCGTGTAAATAGTGCCTTATAAGAGGTTCTGCCTCTTGAGGCACTGGCTGTTTGACAGTACTAAATATACTGTATTGTAACAATTTAAAGCCTACTCACAACTGTTTAAGTGATCGTAACAGCATGTAGCACCACAAACAAACACACAATTACTATACTCCATTTGTGCAACAGTATTTTTGTACATTATAGCAGTTCATGTTTCTAAAGGTTGTGTTTCATAAATATTCTGGACTGTCTATCTCAGAATGTAATTAGGGGATGAACGGGATGATAAACCAGTGAAAATCAGGAGAGGGAAATGGATTTTTGCAGCGGGAAATCTTGGCTGGGAGGCAATAATGATAAAATAAGTAAGAGTTTAAAGACATGTATCGGCTGATGGGGCAAAGATGTTAGGAAGATTAAAAGAAGATGAGAGTCAGAAAGTGAAATATATTACACAAGACAAAAACAGGTTTCTCTTTGCCTTCCTATTTCTAGCTCAGTAATTTGTTTTTCTAACTCAGTGCCTCATTGATGTTTGTTGGTACTCCTTAGCTGTAAGAAACCAATTTATTTGAGGTTTATTTCCTATAATAATGTCAGTATTTGTTTTTTAAAGTTTCTATGCATATTTATTGGCGTTTGCATTATTGCACACAGCTTTACTGTGTGTAACCATTCTGTAAGGGCATTTCCGAAAGCTTTCTGAACAGGCCGCCCAAGTGTGTAGAATGACGTCTGTGGCTCTTTTATGTTTGGATCAAATGATTGCTTTTGTGGCATTGCTTTTGAAGGCATCACACAGTAGCTCAATTAGAGATTTTGATGATCACTGCATTCTTCTTATAATCCCAGAGTACCTCTCTCTTTAGCTCTAACTAAAATAACGCTTTGACAGTGTAACTGTCAGTAACTGCTGAATAGTGCCTCCCGGTTCTGTGATTTACAGTCACCACACATGTGACAGCCTCACCCAGGCTCTGACGTTCCTTCAGAGTCAAGAGCCCAATCCCATGATGCAATGCACTGTCATGACCATCCCCAGCCATTTACAGTATTCATAATCAACAAAGTCCTGTTTCTGCAGAACTCCAGCAGCTTTGTAAAGCATTTCTCCTCAGGTGCATTTCTTGGTAAAAAAATACTGTAACAAAACAGCACAATCAATAGGCTTTGCGGAATTACTATGAGGCTCTTTTTTTCTCTGACGTTAGTTCTTCTCAGATCCTGAAGGGACAGCTCTGAGCTCTGAAGAGAGCATAGGTCTGCCCTAATAGCCCTCGGCAGGCCATTGAGAGGCTGCACAAGCCCTGCTAAATGAAACATTGAGCCAGTTCTTAAATCATTGAAATGCAAGGGAAGCTCCGTAATGAGACAGACTGACCTTTGCAGCCCTGTTCTGCTGCCTGGTGGTTGAGTCTTCTCAACATTGAAGCCTGAACCTTGACAAGAATTACAATCTCCCTGTGAATTTACTTGATTCCCTCATTTCCAAATTCTCGCCTTGTGATTTGGAGTGTGGTATAAGATTTTCTTGATGTAAGTGCGTAGTTGCATTTACAGAATGTAAGACATAAACGGTGCATTGAATTTCACAGAACTGGGAAAAATCCAACAGAATCATAACTATTGATCTAAGTTCAGGGAATTCCAATCCTTGCCCTGAAGGGGCCAGTCAGCGTGCCTGCAGGGCTTCCAGGTCTCTCAAAAGCAGGAGCACCTGAAGAGCTGGGAGAACTGGTTCAGGTAAACCAGTAACCAGCTGGTTTCACTTCTTAAGAGCTAAGTTGGAATGAAAACTGGTAGACACACTGGCGCTCCAGGACCAGGACTGAGATGATATGGGAAATGCCAAAGGGGAGAAAAAACCCCACAACAAAACAGAAACCTGTGACTTTGCAGTAATTACGAAGTCGGTTAAATGACTCCTAGTTTTGTAAGGCTGCTTTTATAAACTGTTTGCAGGACAACATGTAAATATATTCAACCCACACAGCCTGAAAGTGTGTTGGCTTTTGTTTAGCCATAAAGCTATCAGAAAGGAAGTTTTTAGTCTTGTTTAGATACCAATGCTGGCAGCATAGCCCAGCTTTCAGTGTTCCATTCAAGGAGTATGGCCAGCTCAGTTCTAACTGAGGTCCCTTGGACCACTGCCAAAATTGGGCCTGACATCTTCTGCACCTGTATACACCTAAATACCATACACATCTACTGTATATGTTTGTACACTGGAACACAGGGGTGTGCTGATGTTCATTTTCTGGGAGGATATGTGCTCAGCATCATCCAATACAATGCATTAAAGTTTCCTGTCAAGTTACTTTGTTGTTGTCAGTAGCTCATCTATCTCTGGAAATGATGAGAAGCTTCTGTGTATTTATTTACAGTAAATTAACTTAAAGCAAACCTTCCCAGAAGTTTGCTTTGTACCAGAATGATTAAAAAAAACTTTGTTTTTGTGCTCCATAAAACTGTGTTTCAGCATAGAATTCACTGAGCTAGATTAATTTCAATTAGGAAGAGCACATATTCTGCACAAGCATTGCAAACATATGCTGTTAATTGCTTTTCATTAGCAAATCAGCCTTTAGAATGAATACTAATTGTGAATATGGCCATTCCCTAGATCCAACAAACATCATGGAGATGCACAAATAATTTATACAAAAACGGTAAGCCTGCTCAGCCAACAGATACTGTA